GCATTTACCACCGCSAGCTCCTGGTTCCCAGCATTTCGTTTGCCTTGACCCCAGGCTACAGCAAACCCCTTACCTCTCGTGCTACTCTGTGGAGGGACTCTGAGGTCTGACAACTTTTTGCAGTGCTCAGAAGTTGTTGAAACCTTCTGTGGCTGCCTGCTTCCCTGTCCCCTGCCAGTGGGGAAGCCCTGAGACCAGGCGGCAGCGGGAAGCCGGCAGCCAGCACAGCRGAGGGCTGGGCAGGATGGAGGGAGGGAGCTGGAGACAGATCTCATCAAAGGTAGGAGGCCTAGTGGGGATCAGAGACATGGAGATACACATCTAAATAATTCAGGCACTAGTAAAAGCTTTAGGTTGGGTTCTGTTCAAGAAGTGAAAYGAAGCTGAATTTCAATGTATTTCAGGCTTCCATCAATGCAGAATGTGGTGTTACTTAATAATCTGACACTGACAAACCAACATTCTTTTAAAAGTATTCCATATAAATTTAATGATGAAAGTGGCTRTGGATATGTATTTTTATAGCTTTAGGTTGAAATTCTATCATGGGAAGATTTTGAGAGCTTCAAGTCTGACCTCTACAGGTTGGCTGCTGAAATAGGAACAGGATCTTGGGATCACAAATCGAACATAGAACCCTTAGAATTCAGAGGAAGGTAAGGGATCAGATGCACTACTTAACATCACATTATCATCATTACCTCCTGAAGCCGTATTTTTAAAACACAACTATTGGTAGCAACATCTGTTGCAATTTGGCTCTTACAAATGCTTCTTTCCAAACTGCATAATGAGTGCATCAAAATGAGAAAAAGCACATCCAGCATGAAATTTTTTACATTCAAAAGTGCAAAGAGGTTATCCTTCTGCTTTTTATTATCCCTCCCCCTTCCTCACCAATCTTCCACATGATCTACTCTATCAGAGCTACAGAAACAAGCAATACTTTGMAACTGATAACATCCAGTTGTGTCTTGCAAAACTGATGTTTTTTAAATGCCCTGATTGGTGCCACCTTTTTCTAATCAGAACCAACCACTCTAACAAACTACCCTTTGTCAGGGGATCCCATCCCCTCTGTTCCCACCAACCTACAGCACATGTTGCTATAGCTACCCTGCATGTCTATTTACCACACAAGTGATCAAAGGGAGCAGACAACACACATACACACATGCACAAAAAATCCTCGCCAGGCTTCCTACCGAGCAATGTCCAGCSACTAATTAACTGATACACCCCCAGCCTGTGGACTCTGTACACTTGTTTTCTTTATTCTGCCCAGTACAGGCACAAAAAAAGGGCAGAATTCTTCAAGATGCTCTTTCTTCCCTTATAGGCCCAACAAACAACAAAACATCCCAGGATGAACTTTAAAAGATAATTTCCTAGTGCCAGGCAAAGGATTACAGAACTTCAGGATAGGMGTACAGCTTTTCTACAGAGGAACGCATTAAGAATTTTAAAAGGTATGCAAAAGAAAATAGGAAATAAGAAACACATGCTAAGAACTTAAACAGCTGAAAGGAAAGGGGTTGATTTTGAATTTTGCATATGTTTTGCACTGAAATTGTATACAGCCTTTATTCACTTGGTGAATTATTTGCACATTAAAAGCTGTATGACTGCAGACATGGTAAGTAATTGTAATGGCTTTGTGTGCCTTAGAAACACAGTTTTGCACTTTTAGGTGGCCTGTCAGTTAACAGTTGTTTAGTTGAGCCTCTTTATGTGACAAAGCGCTCAAGACTCAAGACTGCCTCGATCAAAGTTAATGGTACTTCAATAGGAAGAGGCCAAAATAAGGAGCTGCATTTTTTGTCAATGACACTCCTGCAAGCTGCACTTCAGGGATATGTTGTGGTTGAAAGGGAGCAAAAATGAAGTATTAAAATTCATCAAATATTTGATTTTTTGTGAAGTAGGCTTAGGAAACAAAACAGAGCCCACAGTGCCCTCTCCAGTTCTGCAGCAATCCAGCCATATAACTGTGTGGCTGGACACAAAAACTCCACTCTAGCTCAGGAAGGCTGAGCACACCTTAGGCATTTCCATCACTGGCAAATTTCCTTACTTTATAAATAGTTCACTGAACTCAGTACTCTTCAAAGCAAAAAAAAAAAAAAAATATGTTACTTGCAAACGATTTTTTCTTGTCTATTGGTTTTGGGTTTTTTAACCACGTTTACCTTTAAAACTTCCACTTCTGCTTCCTAACACTGGTCTTACAGCACACAAAAACACATATGTTTCCTGTGGATGCTTAAATTTTCACAGGTACATGATGATCAGCATAGTTTCCCAGATATGACAGAAATGTTCCTATTTTGATTGCTGGACCTTATTGGTGAGGTTATTSTGCAATACAGCAACAAGACACCTCTTGCTAAGGCCTTCAATGATCAGCTAAAAATCACTGCTTCTTTATCCTGTTTCAYTGACAAATCTCAATTCAATATTTATAGCAATGCCTGTGAGCTCCTAGACTATGGGACTGGCACAATAGTAAGGTAGGTTGAATCTTATCAACAGGCTGCATATTACATTTCTACAGTAATTCTTCCACTTCCATTGGGGAAATTAGTACATTTTTCTTTCTTTGTGCTATTGTTCAGTAGCTGTGGGTTGCCCTTGGGTCACATCAGTCATGTAGTCATCAGAATGTAGATAGTTTCATCCCAACACCTGCAGTACATTTCCATGCGCCTATGCTGGTTAATCCACAGCACCAAATTGAGCTATTTCTCCCACCAAGAGCCTCTCAAAAGTGGGAGCACTCCCTCCCAGAGCCTGAGAAGTGGAAGGAGTTAACCAATTCCCTCCTAGACGGTGTAAGGATGAGGAAGGGAGCACCAGGGAAGAGCAGAGAAAGCAACAGGACAGGTAGCGAGAGATGATTGTAAGGTGGAAGAGTATGTAAAAAAGAGTTGCCTGTTACTCTGAAGAAGAGGCCCATGGAAAAGTCAGTCTCTGCATATTCCCCTTTCCCCTGATAATTCCCAGCCAGAAGCAGGAATGAGGGCTCCAGCTGCACATGACTCGCCTGCTTCTAAGTGTCTGCTCTAATGGATTTCCTAAACGTTTTAYACGGTTGGTTCATAGCCCTTCACAGCCTTCCGTTCCCACTAAAGCCCGAAGGGGTCTGATGCACCCAGCAGCTCAGCACCTCCCCGACCTCCAGCTCCCCGGATTTTGCCCCGCGGGCCCTAGCAGTGCCCACAGGCTTTCCCCCGCCAAACTGCGAATATTTGTGCGCAGCAAACCAGCCGAACCCAGAGAAACAGTCCCAAAGCGTTCCCTCGGCCCGGGAGAGMGCAGCCCTCCTCCGGGGCAGGTGTTGGAACACGCCCAGGCCGCGGCTCCCGCCCCACACACCGCCCCTCGGAGGAGCGGGGCCCCTCGGAGCCATCCTGAGGGAGCGGGGCGGGGCGGGGCGGGGCGGGGCGGGACGGGACGGGCCCGGCAAGAACCAGCCCGCCTGTGCCTGCACTCTCTTCAGGATGGAATGTGTCCCCCGTGCCTCCTCCTCTTTCGGAGGAGAAGGGATGGTACGTGTGTGCCTTAGCATTCTCCCCCAACCCCCTATTCTCTATGAGGCTTATACGCCTTGCTCTTTTAACCCTCCACCTATGAACCTTCATTACCCACGGAGCGCTATTCTTTAGGTAGAAATGTTTCAGGAGAGTGAAGTGCACGTTTCACAGAGCGTTTTACGCTTTATTACTGCCATCCTGTAACATTTCTGCTTCTCTCGCACTCCTCCTGGGTAACCCCCTGTGCCAAAGTACCCTCTTGTGGTGATAATGATTTCTGATAACTACGCGCATCCAGCTGACCAACTTGAGTATACAAAATGCCCTTCATTGTGCTTTGCAAGGACAAGAATTCCCCTCTCTTCAAAGAGTTATAAAATGTGGTGATTTTGCTAGTGGGAGCAAGAAATACCTTTCCTCTTCCCACCTATGTTCTCTCTTTCTTCACCCTTCCTCACCTCCTGTAACTTCGACAAAACTGGCACRGAAACTGGGATTTCCCACCACGGTTTCAGAAAGTAAGCGTAAAACAAATGTTCCATTTGCACTACAGGTGCAAAATCCTCACACATGCATTTCCTGGACATGTACTATAAAAATCCCCCTGAGAACTGAATGAATAACACCCACACAGAAAACCTAGAAAACTTCTCATATTTCCTCATATTTACCCATTGCCTACCCAAAAAATAACGTATTTTCTTACGAGCAAGTTTTGGAAGTGGACTGGCAAGGCTTTTTAAACTGGGACAGATCTTTGACTTAGTCTTTCAAGATAAAGCCAGTTTTTCTTGCTCCCACAAGGCTCTTCTAAGCATACATTGTTGCTGTAAAACTACGAACAACAAGAATCAAAAACATTTTGTCACTGTGCCGTATAACTGTGAGAATGAGAATAAAAGCTCCTTTTGTCTCCTCAGGTGAATAGAAGTCTTACAAAAAATTCTAATTTGAATAATCTTAGAAAAAAAATCCCTAGAAAACCCATCTTAAAGTACTTTTGTAAAGCTTCAAGACAGCTTGAAACTACTACATTTTAAAACAATCAGAAGATTAAAGCACTGGCAGGCAAGGAACTCATGCAGAGCTGTTTAATAAATTATCCCTGGGCTGAATTATTGGCATATTTAGGCTTATAACACAGCAAGTTCTTTCCTTTCGCATGTCACAAACAGGGCTGCGAGACAGCCTACACAATGCACTTAAACCATGGCAAACTGGAATTGATTTACATAGCTCGCAAACCGCTTCCACGCTCCCTACAAATCCAAAACGGACCATGACTTGCATGGCATCCCTGCCTACCGGGGGAATCGGGGAAAAAAAAAAAATCCACCCCGGAAACGTACAATTATATGAAACAGGAAAAAAAAAAAAAAAAAAAAAAAAAAAAAAAAAAAAAAAAAAGGAAAAGAAAAAGCAGTCCGCAGGGGTTGGGAGCGGTGCCGGCGGGCAGTGGCTCCTTACCTGCCTCATGGTGAGATTCCCATCATCCATCCAGCCGGCCAGGGGCTGCTCACACCGCGCTGCTGTCGGCAGGGCAGAAATCCATCAAGTTTCCCACCGTAAGCAAGTTTSCCTCCCTCCTCTTCCCTGTCTATTMTTTCCCCCCGCTTTTTATTCTTTGCTGGGGAGAATCCTAAGACAATGTCAAGTTTCCCAACCTTCTTTCGGCAGCCTATGAAAAGTCGGCAGCGGGGAGGCAACTGTCCGCCTGGCTCTGATTTCAAACCGCAGCCCAGGGATGGAGCAGTTGGCTGAGCCGGGCCATGGAATAGCCTCGCCAATCAGGAGCGAGGGGAGGGAGGCAGAGCACATAAAGGCTGCTGCCTACACGAGGATTAGGAAAGCTTTCAAGGATTTAAAAGACTGAAAGCAGCTGGAAACAGTGTCTAGGGCTACAAAGAGGGAAGTCAATTTGCGGCGTAAGAGATTATTCCCATTCTCATGTAACTGCTCTGGGTCTGCTCGAAGCTTTACGGGCTCCCAGGACTTCAGCAAGGATATGCAAATGCCCAGTTGAAATTGCTGCAGCATCAGAGCGATGCAGGAACGCTCGACAGCAGCCCGGTAAAGTGGCAATATCCCGTCTCCAGAAGCACCGATTTCCTCGTGTCAGATTAAAAGGAAAATTACATAATGACATGAGCAGGAAGCAAAATACAATCTACCATTTACATTAAGGGCAAGTGCCTGTCTGCTGGAAGGAACAGAAATGTATTGCAAATCCGTAGGCTTCGGAAATATTTTGTTGCAAAGCTTTATTTGTCTCAGTGGCAAATGTTTAATCATCCCTACCCTCTGTTCATTGTCTGGTTTCCTCATTCCTGAAGCTTAGTTCCTCATGCAAGATAACACTGGACCCCAAAAGCAACTTCAATTAAAAAAAAAAAAAAAAAGTGGGTGTTTTTTCTGTTTTGTTTTTGGTTTGTTTTTTTGGGTTTTTTTGGTGTTTTTTTTCTTTTGAACAAGATCAGCTGCTATCTGCTGCCCCTCGGTGGCTTTCATTAAAATAAACAAAGACAAGGCAAAATGAAAAATCTCAAATCTGAAGCGCCGTTGCTGTTTGAGTTACACCTTTGATAGAATTATAGAATTGTTTGGGTTGGAAGGGACCGTGGACATCATCTAGTTCCAAATTTCTTCAGTTAGGAAAAAAAAAAAAAAAAAAAAAAAAAAAAAAAAAAAAAAAAAAAAAAAAAAAAAAAAAAAAAAAAAAAAAAAAAAAGCAGAGAACTGCAAGCCTGCAAATTGATACCAGCCAATCTTCTCCAAAGTGGAGAAGGTTTCTAACTTCATATCAATTCAGCAGCCTGTCAGTTGTCTGTTCCGCTCTTAATGGAAATCTGTCTTTTGATCTTAGGGGACAACCAAGCAAATCTGATGCCTCAAGTAAAGTCCCAATGKCATGAATTTGCTTCTGCAAAGGTTTTATCTACCAATGAACAAATTAGTCACTATCCAGAAAAACCCTTAGCAGTATAAACAATCTTAATGAATTAAGCTACAGAAAAAAAAAAAAGTTACAATGATATGTTTCCAGGATTTTAATTAAAGACTTCCAAAAATATATTTCCTTTTAACTTATGATAAGCTCCAGCCCTGGGTATGTCACAGGGAAAGAAAGAAAATATCTGAAATAAGTMTTTATTTGTTTGCCCATTTAAAGACAACAATGATTTTTCTCACAAGTGCAACAAAGAAAGGAGTTTGAATAATACTGGTGCTGTCTACATCAGAAGCAAGGCATGGATAGAGAAAACTTGATTTAAACCACTACTGTACTTTATCTAGGTCCAACTTTTCTATTGCCTGGCCCATGTCCTCAGGTGGAAGGATACAATAATGTGCTTTAATGTACAGCACCAACCATCTCCAGGGATCAACCCAATATGTTGCACAAGGGGGAGATTAACCATCCTCTCTCATCTGGAGACAAGAGAGTGATGCCTCAGTGATGGTCTAGTCCTGCCCACTTGCACAACAGCTCGGAGCAGCTGCAGTGCAGAGTGAGGTGCATTAAGAGCACTTAACAGGAATGCTTGTCCCCTGTTCCCCAAGCATAGCTCAGGGGACACGTGTCACTTGAAATGAGTATGTGGTATGTGAAGACCCTTTGCTTCTTATAATCCAGGAGAATCCTCTCCAGGATGCATTTAAAGAAAACATAAAAATACTTCTCCAAAATAATTAGAACATTAGGGGTACTACCCTGGTGAAGGGGACATAGCAAAAAGTTCAAAACTTGCAAAATCAGTAAGGATTATAAAGGATTCACACCAAAACCTTATATTCAATTTCAGGGTTTTACAAAGGGGATTCTTAGAACGGTTTCATGGTTTCACATGGCAACACAGCAAAAGATTCTGTGAGAACTCAAAGATTACAAAGATAAAACAGTTATGTAACTTTTCTGGAAATGCAGACACCTTTCCACATACAATATGCATAACTCACAGGACTGGATGGGTACATTTTAATGAAAATTTTACTGAAAACCAAGCAGAATGAGGCATCAAAAAATGAGTTGGTTGTATAGGATAAAAACTGATTTCTAGTATTAACAAAAAAACAAAACCATAGAAATCGATGACCTATGTTCAGGGTAGGGTGTGGGCTGTTTTATTTTTAATCCAGTGTCGCAGACAGCCCCTATTCTATTTATGYCATTCACTTTCCACCTTTGAGGAATGTGCTTTGTGATCAACCCATACACAATTGCTGGAGGTTTTTTTGGTGAAATACAGTTTACAGTCCAGTGTTTCCAGTCCAGACCAAGGTAAGTCTGCACCAGCTGCAGGGGGTGCAGAAGCACCATCACATGCAGTAGATTCAGAAAACTAGATGCTGCAATTCACTTCCTAGGGTATTGTGAGTGGCACAAGAGAAGAGAGGGTCTCTATCTGWGGTGGTTTTGAGGGTAGTCAGCATCCAAAGACACAGTGGTACAGGTGCTTGGTTTTACACCTTCCAAGTGTATGTGTGTGCATGAAAATGTCATATGGTCTTTGGGGAAGTGAAAGGAGATTCTGTCCCCAAAGAAGGAACTTTCACAGTCTGTCCAGTGGAACCAGTGGAGATAAGGGCAGCCAGAGGGGGTGGTGCCAGGCATAAGATCAGACATTACTGGGAGCAAAGACCTGTATAAGCCAGACCAAAGTCATTGTTGGGACCACAACAGCTGTAAAGGATTCTTACTGAATTAAATTAAAAGACAAATGGCCACAAGTGCACCAAACTACTGGCAGTTTTACATTATATGAACACTTGTTATCAGTAGGATAATGGTCACACATTCCTCTTATCAAAACTCAGTTTATCTGCCCTTGGAGTTATGAGTGACACCAGCAGCCACAGAAATACCAAAGTAGCTCTGACCTTGCTGCTCACTGTGGATGCCTGCCACAGTCCTTATCACACACCAAGCACCTCTCAGACACAAAGGGCAGACACACGAGCCCTCCATCTAGCCTCATGTCTAAAGCATTACGTGGCCCCATTCACTAATGCAAAATCAAGGCAGGATGACTTTACTCGGGCTTCCATTATTGGCAGCATTTACCAGAAAGGCCTTCAGTGTGGTTGTGCTGTCCTGATCTTGACTTGGCAAAAGTAGTCAGCAGACACTTGTGAGAACTCAGTGTTGGGTTCTAACTAAAAATCCTGCCTCCTATTCCTACTTAAAACAAAGATGTAATATTAGAATGTGTCGTGAGCCAGTTTATATGGCCAAGAAGCTTTGAGAGTTCCTATAAATGTGCAGAAACCTCCACCACTGTGTAATACCAGTTACAAATTGCACATTATGTAAAAAGATAATAAATTTTTCACATAGACATAGTATATTAGGTGTTGGGTGCTCTTTGTCAGCACATCAACTGTTTCTGGAAATGTTCATCTAATTTTAGTGGGAGGGGGCTTAGTTCAGTGCTCATCAATTCAGTGGACAATTTTGAAGGTTTTTGCCTCGTGACAAGGCAAGGACAACCAAAAATTTAGTACTGTTTCAGAATTTGAAATATTTGGTCATTTTGATTTGTTAATTAAACCTTCCTTAACTATTTTCATTTTTTCTAATGAATTATCAAACACAGGAATTATTTTGAATTGGTAGATCAAATACAAAACAGCCTAATGTGGAATTACTCAGGTTTTTTTGATGTAATACAATTTACATATTTCAGCCCAAGATAAGTCTGCATCAGCTTCAGAGGAAACACAGAACAGGAAGTGGAGAAAAGGACTTTCTCTCATTAGCTGAATTCCAGCTGCCATGAAAATCCTCCTGGGCCCAGAGAATTTAATATACGCTAAAGACAGAAGAACCACTCTGCCTCTTTACAGAGCTGTGCCAAGCAGAGACAGACCAGACCCCAGGATCTGATTATATGGTAGGAGTGGAAGAGTTGCAGCAGGGAAAAATATGACCCAGCACATAGGTTAGAAAGAAACAAACSTAGTTTGAAATCAGCACCTTCAGGTTTGAAGCCAAACACAAATGGATTACCTTTRATTTGCAATATAGACAGCTGATAAAGACATCCTTTTTCAAAATAAGGCAAGCAGCTACACTGCTGCACTTTGAGAGAAAAAGGTAATATTCAAACCCAAACTGYTGGCATTGAAATTCATTCCTAATGGTTTTTATAGTGCCTCCCTTGGCAGTTTTAAATTGGCACCTGCAGGAAGAGCAGGATGTCCAGAATACAAAATACCACTTAATAACCCTATATAGCACTAGAATACTTAACTCAAGGCAACACTGGAATGTAAAAATAACCTCCAGAAGAACTAGCACAAAATATGAGGCTGTATGGTGAAGACAAATTTATGAGAAGACAGTATTAAAAAAAAAAAAATCTGAAATAGCCCAAATACGAAAAACTGTTCTCAAGATGTGCAAGTTATTATGCAATGATTTCAAAATATATGGTTAATATTTGTGAATGTAAGACTGTACAGAGCTGGATTTCACAAAGAAGTACTTAACTGTTTTTTATCAACACTGCTGCACTGAATGCAAAGAAGATAAACTGACTGCCCTGGCAGAATGTCCAAGTCATGGCATCCAAATGAACACACATTTCCTAACAGAAGTTTAGAATTAAGACCAGCAATGTCATACATCATTACATTTACACATACACACTGATACCCATGGTGCACAAAGATGCTTCAGTCCTCT